GCTTTTGAAATTCAGCTTTATTTGAAATGGAACAAAAAATAAAATAAAAGAACATGCAGAGTCATACATTCTCAACAGAGTGGTATGTGTGATTACTCTCTACGTACTGTATTCCAAAACATTTGCTCTGTAATAAATTCAGGCTTTCTTTTCTGTATCAGATTTCTTCACTGTTTCTATAGACACTCACTGGCTTGTTTCTAACAGATGCAGAACCCCCTGCAAAATCACACACATACACACATCAGGAACTATCTAGGCTTGTAGGTTCCCCCATCCCTTCATCAAATATCTCTACCCAAGAGGTGTTTGCAGTGTACACAGAACAGATACACATTGAAGAGGAGCTTGCATGAGGGTCTTCCAGATTCCCTCAGGCCTTTGCTCTTCAAATGGCACATATTTCTGCCTATTCAGTGAGTGCAGATTTCCTTTCCAGTTTTGCTGCTCTCCATCTCTTCCGATGGGTTAACAGAACCCTCTTTTGAGTCCTCTTGAACTGCTGTTTGTATGAGACAGCAACAACAGCGTAGAGCTCTTTGCAGAAAGACCAAGGTTTAATCCTTGACATCTCGTCTTAGAAGAATCAGAACAGGGGTTCCCAAACTCGTCTCCTTGGTTCTATAAACTCATCTGCAGTATGCTCTACCCTATAAAAAGCATTACTGTATTCAGAATAGTGGTTTGCACAACCCACTAAGGAAGATAATAACATAATGAAATTCAAAATAGTTGCAACTAATTGCATATTTATTCAAAATCCCATTAAGACTAAATAGTTTAACTACTTCAGCAAAATTGAGGAACTTCATCCGGTGATCTCTTGTCATTTTCACCTTCAGTGCCCCCTTGCCTCTTAGTGCCCCACTAGGTAATCCTACCAGTCTCTTCTGAGATAGAAGGTGCTGGGGAAAATCTCTCCTTGAGAACCTGGATGTCCCCTGCCAATCTGAGCAATCAGAAATGAGTGGGCAAGATGGCCAAATTGTTTTTGTTGTTATTATGATATGCATTTTTGTGTTTTTATCTTGCAAACCACTCTGTGATTTTCGGATGAATGTTGGTATTGAATTTTTTAAAATAATAATAATAATAATAATAATAATAATAATAATAATATAGTTTGATTTGCTGTAAACCCCTTCATGGATCACTGCCCCTTCATGGATCACTGCCTTGCCGTGGCGAAGGGGCTTGAATAACTCAGAGAAGCTATGAGCTATGCCGTGCAGGGCCACCCAAGATGGACAGGTCATAGTGGAGAGTTTTGACCAAACGTGATCCACCTGGAGCAGGAACCGGCAAGCCACTCCAGTATCCCTGCCAAGAAAACTCCATGGACAAAGACAACAGGCATATAAAAGTAATGCTGATTGCCGAAGAATTGATGCTTTTGAATTATGGTGCTGGAGGAGACTCTTGAGAGTCCCATGGACTGCAAGAAGATCAAACGTATCCATTCTTAAGGAAATCAGCCCTGAGTGCTCACTGGAAGGACAGATCCTGAAGCTGAGGCTCCAATACTTTGGCCACCTCATGAGAAGAGAAGACTCCATGGAAAAGACCCTGATGTTGGGAAAGATGGAGGGCACAAGGAGAAGGGGACGACAAAGGACGAGATGGTTAGACAGTGTTCTCGAAGCTACAAACATGAGTCTGACCAAACTGCGGGAGGCAGTGGAAGACAGGAGTGCCTGGCGTGCTCTGGTCCATGGGGTCACGAAGAGTCGGACACGACTAAATGACTAAACAACAACAACAACACCACAAATCTAGACTGTTTTTGTGATGTTCCAGGCAACCAACACATCTGATCTGTGCATAAAGCATGCTTTGAACTGGTAGAACCTGCTTCCCCTTAAGCAAATTTTCAGGCGTCATTTACATCAGTGATGACAATATGGCAAGTGCAATTTCCAGAACTTAGCATCTCCAGTTCTACATGTGTCTCTAGACTCTTACCTGCATGCCTAAACAAGTAGTTAAGGAATATCAGACCAATAATAATGAGAACTGGGCCTTTGAGCATTCTCAGCATCTTTTCTCTCTCTCCAAACACTGGGTGAGCTGCTCAAGATACGAAGCTTGGATGCCCACGCAGAGTTAAAGTGTCATTCTCTCCTGTCCCATGCTGGTTTCACTATGTTCAGTCAAACTAGGTTCTCAGCAACAGTGAATCAGCTTTCCTAATTCACTTGAAGTTAAAGTAGAAGTTACACCATTCAAGTGGATTAGAATGTTTTGGGTGTTGCTTCCCCCAATTAATGTGATTATTACTGTTTGTTTTGAGATTTCGGTGGTACCTTGGCTAGCATCTGCATGGTGGTCTTTTCTGGCACTGGGTGAAGATATTTTCCCCAGGCTCTTCAGCTTGTTTGCTTTTCAAGTAGTACACACCCTCCAACATTTCTCCAATGAAAATACGTACCTCCTATTCAATAGTAGTAGTAGTAGTAGTAATCATAATCATAATAATTTTACTATGTATACCCCACCCATCTAACTGGGTTGTTCCGGCGACTTGGGGCAGCTTCCAACATATATAAAAACATATTAAAACATTAAACATTAAAAAAACTTCCTATACTGGGCTACCTTCAGATGGCTTGGGGGTCGGATAACTCCATACTGATAACTTCTGCTGTTTCTGAGAGCCAGTGTGGTGTAGTGGTTAAGAGCGGTAGACTCGTAATCTGGGGAACCGGGTTCACGTCTCCACTCCTCCACATGCAGCTGCTGGGTGACCTTGGGCTGGTCACACTTCTCTGAAGTCTCTCAGCCCCACTTACCTCACAGAGTGTTTGTTGTGGGGGAGGAAGGGAAAGGAGAATGTTAGCTGCTTTGAGACTCCTTCGGCTAGTGATAAAGCGGGATATCAAATCCAAACTCTTCTTCTTCTTCTAGTTGGTTTTAGATTTCATGTTTATGCTTTATTTTTGAGCTTTATGAGCATAAGAGCCCTGCTGGATCAGGCCAGTGGCTCATGCTGTCCAGCATACTGATATCACTGATCTCACAGATGAAGATAGAAAGGACCTGAAGGACCTGCAAGAAGGACCTGAGTGCAAAAGGACCCTCCTTTCTTACCATTTCTCAAATCTGTATTACTTATACCCAGAGAACGTTTTGTTAATGGGACTTATAAATATTGTTATTAAAAAAATGTGATATAAAGATATAGAATTAGCACTGTTGGTTAATCTCTTTTGATTCACATAGGTCATTCAACAGTCAACATTCAGAGTTCATGGAAATTTTGTAAATACTACCTGAATTCCCAAAAATGGCAGCATTTCAATGCATATATTTTGTATTACATCTCCCCAGAGGGTGTTATACTTGACTAAGTCCTGCTCAGAGTAGACCTGGGTCTAACTCCAAGGCCATTGATTCCATCTAAGGTCTATTCTGTCTATGACTTATTGAGAAATAGTCCAGTATGACTTTAGGTTGCCACCCACCACCATTCATTCTTAAACCAAAGTCTAAGGTTAGATGGAACATACAGAGATTGAAGTATTTGTTTATTTTGTGCCTTTATACTGTATTTTACCTTGTGAACTGCCTGGAGATATTTGGATGAAGGGTGGTATATAAATGTAATTAATAAATAGTAATAGTAGTAGATCCAAGCCTAAACTGCAATGTAAGCCTGCAGGCATGGTCTGTTTCATTCTTTAAAAGCTTTTCAGTGCCTAGCGCTCTAGATACTTAACAATTATAATTGGTAGTAACAACAGTGTTCATCATCACTATAATACAGTAGTAGTAATAAAAGGGAAGTGAGGTTGCATTAACTTCTGTATGATTAGTAACAAACCACATCTTTCTTCGTAACTCCCTGATTATAATCCTCTTAGGTAAGGGTCTCCATTTTGCCTGGAAAAGTGACCTCACATAGGACAAGTCACAAAGGGCGAGAAAAGAGCAAGCATACAATGGGTATCCTTTGTTGATATAGACTATTGGGGTGTCCCTCATGTTTATTCAGCAGATCTGGGTCCTCCAGAATATGTGCACATCCTTTCCACTCAGTCCTCCATGTGATAAGGTCTTGGGGTACCCCTATTAGTTGGCTTCTTAAAGACCTAGGAAAGGGAAGGCACACACAGCAGTACACATCAAGGTTAGGAATCCCCACCCAAAGGCTGCACATTGCACCCCCTTTGTACTACACACATATTCATTCCCCCTATGGTAGGGAAAAGGAAGTTCTACTAGAGTCCCATGGACTGCAAGAAGATCAAACATATCCATTCTTAAGGAAATCAGCCCTGAGTGCACATTGGAAGGACAGATCCTGAAGCTGAGGCTCCAATACTTTGGCCACCTCATGAGAAGAGAAGACTCCCTGGAAAAGACCCTGATGTTGGGGAAGATGGAGGGCACAAGGAGAAGGGGATGACAGAGGATGAGATGGTTGGATAGTGTTCTTGAAGCTACTAACATGAGTTTTACCAAACTGTGGGAGGCAGTGGATGACAGGAGTGCCTGTGTGCTCTGGTCCATGGGGTCATGAAGAGTCAGACATGACTCAACAACAACTAAAAATAAAGGTAAAGGACCCCTGGATGGTTAAGTCCAGTTAAAGGCGACTATGGGGTGCAGCATTCATCTTGTTTTCAGGTCGAGGGAGCTGGCGTTTGTCTGCAGACAGTTTTCCAGGTCATGTGGCCAGCATGACCAAATCACTTCTGGCGCAACGGAACACCGTGACAGAAACCAGAGCACACGGAAATGCCGTTTACCTTCCCGCCGCAGCAGTACCTATTTACCTACTTGCACTGGCCTGCTTTCTAGGCTGGGACATAACAACGAGAGCTCACCCCATCATGGAGATTTGAACCGCCAACCTTCTGATCGGGAAGCCCAAGAGGCTCAGTGGTTTAGACCACGGCGTCACCCGCATCATGGAAGTTCCACTAACATTTATCAATACCCATCCTCTCCATTATCTTATGTGGTGGGGCAGGGACAGGACCCCACTCTCTTGTTTTATAATTCTCTCTCTCTCTCTCTCTCTCTCTCTCTCTCTCTCTGTGTGTGTGTGTGTGTGTGTGAGAGAGAGAGAGAGAGAGAGAGAGAGATTCAAAGAGCATTGACATCTAATTATAAGGAAAAGAATATTTGAAAAAATAGACAGACTAGGTAAATAATGGGTGAGGAAGAGAAATGGGGGGGTGTGGAATACTAGTTAAAGGTACTGCCATATGAATTAATACTTTGCAGGGACTATATTGAGATAGGGGCGACTCTTAAGATACGTCTTAAAGGTCCGCCCAATATCCACATAATCCTCAAACTCTGTGGTTCCCTGCAGCACATGTTGATGACAAGTAAGTTTTTCCATGACTGCAGTACACTCCATATGCTTCTCCGTCTGCTTCTCCATCTGTCACAAGTATTATAAATTAAGGCTGATCTTCATAAGCCTGGTGGAAAAGAAGCACTCGGTGCACCTGGTAGTTTCGCAAGGGCCCTTCAGGAACTCATAACTCACCAGTGCTCACCAGGGCCTTTTCAGTTGTGGCTCCCTGTTTATGGAATGGTCTCCCCAGTGAGCTCCAACTGGAGCCATCACAAACATCTGCTAAAACCTTTACTCTTTCCCCAGGCATTTGATAGACTATGATGATGTTGCTGCTACTTTATTGAGGGTCACACATGGATTTTTTTTAGATTAACAATTATATGTTTTGTTATTATAAAGTATTTTATCCTCACAACAACCTTGTGTGGTAGGGCAGGCTGAGGGTGACTGATAGACTGTGAACTTCCTAGTCGAGTGAGGACTACAACCCTGTTTTCTTTCAGGGCCTAGTCCGACACTAACCACTACATCACACTGGTTTAAAGGCAAAGTTACCTAATCTGCACTTTCTGAAACAAAATATGCACTTGCAATGCAGTTCTCCAGCAAGGTAATGTCTATAAAAATGCATATACCAGTGCAAAGTGTCCATAAAAAATGCATATATTAGTAAAAATAAATGCATTTTAGTTGGAAACATTATTTGCAAATATATGTATATGGGGGGGGGAATATTGCGTAGATAGAGGTGTATCTTAGGAGAAAATTGTACTAAAATGCTGATGTATTTTCTTGAGATCTTGCAGTTTGTTTTTTAAAGCAAACTAATGTATAAACCTGGATAACTGACCTCAAGAAGGAAAAAGGAGAAACTGAAAGAAACAGAAACGGACAGATCTGCCCATTCCTCCACACAACCCAGCAGCCCTTGAATCTGCTTCTGATGGACACAGTGTCCGCGCCAGACCCCAGCATTGCTGGGCACACGCCAAGTTCCCAACAGGGATCCCATGCACTGCTGCTTGTCCTCCTCGCCACTGCTGCCTGTTCACTTGCCCTTTCAAGGGTGAGTGAGCAATGAATGAGAGGAACATGGAAGAGAAGTGCAAATGTAAACACATTGCTTAAATGAGCAATGGGCTGGCTGTCCCTCCTTAAGAGAGGAATGGAGGGAAGTGAGGAGAAAGGTATGAGGACAAAAGTTTTTTGCTACTGTTCTCTTGGTTCATGCACTGTACTAATTCTGGAGAAAGTGATGAATAGCAGGCAAAAAGCTGTTCCTCCACTTTGAGGCACCTGCTTTGGCACTAGGCAGCGCTGAAGCACAGATTCATTAGTTCTGCTGCACCATCTGGAAGCTGTAGAGAGTAGAACATAAAAGGAAATTCTGGTCAGGTACTGCTTTCTACATTTCAAATAAATCTGTACAATTTAGTGCCAGGAGAGCAAAAACCCAGAGCTTTGACTTTTTGATGCATGTGACCCTAGCCCTCTTCAGAAGGATCTGCCACTTTTGGCTCCTCTCACTTTCTCTTTTTATTCAGTTTTGATTGCCACATGTCTGCAACACATTTGCAACCGTGTCAACAGTTTAGTGTGGAGGCAAAAACATTCCTCTTCTTCCAGGCCTTTGGCTAATTAATCAATCTATGGCCTTTTAAACTGCATGTGAGTATTGTTTTTGTTTGTTGTTATGCTCTGTATTTTTGTGTTTTTATATTGTAAACTGCTCCGTGATCTTCGGTTGAAGGGTGGTATAGGAATTTAATAAAGAATGCTAAGAAATAATAAATGTGCCCACATTTCTATGCAATTCTGCCTAATGGGCTCATTTTTTGGTAATGTTTTGTTGCCAATACTGGGAACAGTCATCAGGTGATTTGGGGTCAACGTACTGATGACACCCAGCTCCGTTTTCCTGTTTCATTAGTGTCAGAAGGAAAGCTCTTGAATTGGTGTCTGGAGGTGTATGGACTGGGTGTAGACAAACAAATTGAAGATAAATCCGGATTAGATGGAGGTGCCATGGGTGGTTGCTGCACTTCCCTTGTCTATTAATGAAGGATCACTGTGACCTATTCAATTTCGAAACTATGCCTGAATCCAAATTGGAATGAATCCAGATTATCAGTATCTGCAAGGAAAACAGTATTTGCAGCTGGACAGTGTTGTAGGCCAACAGATTCAGGGTAGCAGGGGTGGTGTGTCCTATTTTGTTGGTTGAGGTGAAATGAGAAGTACTGCTCTGCTCTTCTACCATCTCTGCCAAAATGGACAGATTCTTCCATGCCTGTATTTCATGCAATACAGCTATTTTATCTGCTAACAATGGTGTTCCAACGTTCTAGTATTGCATCATGTTTTTTATATAGTGCTGGCAGTAACACCACACATTTACCCCGCCATATTCAATGGGGCTTTCTCCCAGATAAGTGTGCATGGACGGCAACCATTCTGCCTAAGTACTTTGGGTGAAATATTCCTTCGGCTTTCAAACAATACCATTTACTAAGATGTGCAAAAAGATTCACAAGGGTTTTGACAGAAACTGAGATAGAGATGGGGCATTTTATATTTCCCGAGTGCTGTGAAAATTTAAAATTATGCTGTTTTGTTTTCAATTTATTGATGTAATCTGCCATTCCCATTTAAACAGAATTGTGCTTTATTTACCATGTAGGTCCACCACGTGGGGAGAAAACTACCTCCATTTAGGTGAGTGATATTCTGCCAAGCAAGTGCTTTTCTATCAGAAATAATTACATATAGATTAGAAACAGAAGAAGATACTTCCTCGATATGTGCTGATGCTCTCTCAAGATGCACTGATCACTGGGCCTTCTCCTTAGCGTGTTCAGGATTGCAGCAATTTAATTCAAGTTGTCGCTGTTATGTTTCCTTGTGGTCATTATTTATGAACAGTCATATAACACATTATCACTACCTGACCTACCAAAGTATTTGTTCATTTCAAACCAACAGGAATCTGAATGTCAACAGCCGTTCTGGCTAGTTCTATGAATCACATTCTTCACTCCTGTGAAAACACCTCAGAGCATTCAGGCCAAATATCAAAGCTAGGATCACCCAAGTGAATAGGAGCTTGTCATGGAGATGATATGTGTGGATCCAGGAAAAGAAGATCATTGTGCTGGGTCAGTCAGTGCTATTATCAACTTAGCCCACTATGTATGCATGGTTTGGCAGAAGAATGAAAACCACACAATTTTACTTGTGTGGAACATCACAGATTTGTTTTTAAGGCCAATTTCATTGTACAAATGCACAGCCATGAAGTGCTCTGTGATCCATTGGTGTGCCTAGATTCTCACTGATGATGATGATGACAACTTCATTATTTATACCTTGCCCATCTGGCTGGGTATACAGTAGTGGCCCATGGTTCTCTTTCACCAAGTTTCACATGCTGAGATATCTGCAACCCTTTGGATTAGAGCTAGTCTGACTTAAACCTTTCATCATAATTTCTTTGCAACTATGAGGCTATCATATACTCTGTGCGAACAATTATTATCTTAATAGCTATTTGGCAGGGGCAGACTTTTGTAATATGGAACCTTGAGCAAGGACAAAAATTGGCACCTTGTGTGTGGAAATTGCTTGCACCACCCTAAATTCGTCACTGTTACTTGGAAGCCTCAGTAGGATGGGGTTATGGTCACAGACTTCAACCCTTCACCTGATTACTTGAACACTAAATGTGTATAGGTGGCTGAGCTTAAGTGTACTATCTCAACCTCCCATGAACTTCAGATGCATCTCCTTCCCTGAACATGAGGCGCTCAAAGAAAGATCTGAATGTGGTAATGAGCCTCCTTGATACTGCAGGGCTTCTGGTTGCACCGAGGTTCCTAACTAGATCCAGATTGAATGCAACTAAAAACCCTCTTTAGAAACATTGATCGGAGCAAGAAAGTCTGAGCAGATGGGAGCCATGGGATGGGGCTTGTATGCACACCATGATCCTCTGCAAATATCAGGGACTGAACTCAAGAGGGCGAGGTGGAGGAGGAGGGATGGTGGAGATCATCCCCTTCCCTTCTCCTGATGCTGCAAGGAGACAGCTTTGATTTACAGCAGGGCTTTGAGGGGTTTAAGGAAAGTCACAGCTCAGAGAGAGACAAACAGAAAAGTTGGGAAGTGTTAGAAGAAGGGGGTGGCCTGCAGCAGGGCAGCTAGATGACACGTTGTCACTGGAAAGTATTTCTGATCCCCCTTCTCCCAGAATGCGGCGTTCGTTAAGAGTACAGGAACAAAGGACTCAAAGACATTTGACCACGAGTGGCCACTGTAAGGGAAGATGCTGTTGCTAGGAAGGAGGAGCCCAGTTTGGAGCAAGGCCATTGTTGAGGCTGGTTGCGCTCTTTTGTCTCTTGCTATTAGGATTCAGTAAAACTCATTAAAAAAGGACTCTACCTTGTTTTCTCTGCTCTTGCTGCAACCAGGGGAGGAATAGCTTTCCCAAAGCCTTGACAGAGCCTTGACATTAACCCTCATGCCTTCAGGCAAATGTTATTTATTTTATTTATTGTTATGTTTATATCTTGCCTTTCCTGCCAGGAACTCAAGGTGGTGTACATCGTTCCCTTCTTTTCCCATTTTTTATCTTCACAACAACCTGTGAGGTAAGTTAGGCTGAGAGACTGTGACTGGCCCAAGGTCTCCCAGTGAGCTTCATGGGTGAGTGGTGATTTGAACCCTGGTTTCCCAGATCCTAGTCCAGAACTCTAAGCACTACACCGAAAGGGCTTTAGATGGCTTTAACGGTGGATTAGGCAATGTCATGAGAGATAGCAGTATTTTGAAAATTCTTGTATTGGTAAAATAGGATAGCAATAATCTTCCTCCTTTGTTCAGTGTCAATATTGTCTTAACCCCGGCCAACAGTATATTTTCCTTACAGTCCTCATTAATTTTAATATCATTAATCTTATTTACATAACTAACACAATATATTGGGTTTGATCCAGAGTGTCTCTTCTGAGAGTGAAAACACGCCTTCAGTTTTTGGAAGGCACTGAGATCCAGCAGAAGTTTCTGCTTGTGGAAGCAGAAAGAGGTAAGTTTCTATGCCACCCCTCATATCTCCTCCCACATCATTACAGAGTGTCCCCCAAACCTTCCAATTGGCTTTTCAATTGGCACAGAGGGCCTCAGAGAAAAGAGGGACCAGCAAAAAAATTGCCTCCCAACCTCAACAATGTCCCATGAGTGAAGTACAACTCATGGGACCTCTGGATACTTCTCATAAATCCTTAGGCTGAGTACACACCATGCATTTAACACACATTTCTCTCTCCCAAAGATTCATGGAAACTGTAGTTTACCCTTTATGGTGCTACAATTCCCAGCAACCTTGACATACTGCAGTTCCCAGGATTCTCTAGGAGGGGGAAATATGCTTCAAATGTGCTTTAAATGTAAGGTGTGTACACAACCATAAACCCTATGTATATTCTGTGCCACTATTTCTTAAACATTTTTGATCGTCTCCCCTAACTCCCATTTTCTAAAATAAAAACTGAAAGACCTCCACTGGGTGCTAGTACCTAGAAAATAATATAAGGATCAAAGAAGGTAAAAAAGAGATCCACCCCAATGACTCTGCTACAATAGACCAAGTCCTGGAAATATTCTCTACATTTCATTCTCCTGAATCCTATAGCAGGAACACCTTCATTGTGCTACACCATTCTTTTAGGAAACAAGTGCCCCAATCTATCAAGGGAAATGTGCAAACAGAAGGAAGTTTCTGTATACAGAACTGGCATGTTTTCAGCAGCACATCCAGCACTCATACACAGCGCAGCATTTATCTAGAGTCCTTTGAACTAGCTGGGAATTTGTGTTTCCATCTGGGGCTTATAGTTGTTCTGCATCACTAGGTGCCCATAACTGGAGCTGGATGAGGGCCAAAATGCCTAGTTTGTACAAATTTCTGTCTGGGCATAGGGTAAATGCTGCAAGTGAGAGATGTGCTAAACTCATATGAAACAAGCATTAGTGCACGATAGACCACTGATGCAGAAAAACCATCTATCTCGCCGTCCTTTCATGTCAATTTATGCAAGAACTTTTGGTTTCTATTATAAAATCCATCTATGATTGTGGACTAAGTAAAATCTGCTTATGAAAAATTTAATTTGCAGTTTAGAGCTTGATAACTTTCTGCACCTCATGACGCCACATGATTAATCACCCAATAAAAAATATTAATGGGGAGTGTAATGGAGAATGAAGAATGATAGGCAGATCTTGATCTCAGTTATAATGGTATAAACTAAAGCTAGCCACATTCCATTCTCCTTTAAGGTTTGAGGCCATTGTTAATGGTAGCAAAATTCCTAAAATCCTGTAAAAAGGGGGTGATACCTTCACTATCTCTCAGAAAGTGAAGGTATTACCCCTTTTATACAGGATCTCAGAAATAAGAATTAGTGGTCATCTAGCATTCCTGCATGATGTGAGGTTTATTAAAGATACTTTGGTTTAGCCTTACTTTTATATATATTTATAAACTACTGCGTCATCCAAAAAGTCCTTGAAGTGACTGTTTTAAAAGTACCAGAGGCTGCTTAACATGCATTCAAAAGATGCGCCAAAGCAAGTTTAATAATTTTTGCATTTTCAGATAAAGAAGATAAAAGTTGTCCCCAGAGGGCAAATGAATGGAGACCTCTCTCTCTCCCTCGCTTGGCTGGTAGTTAGAAGGACAAAAACCAGAGCAGAGTTTTGTGTGAATTACAAGCTAGAAGCAAGCAAAAGCTAGAGAGATAGAGCCACACTTTGTTTCTGCTTGGGAGAAGTAAGACCTTATTGGCTGGTGTGCACATATGCTGGCAATCCTGACATATATGCAATAGTGGCTTTGCTGGACAGGCCTCATAACAAGAGACAGAGCATTCCATGAGGGGCTAGATTTCATGTCGTCTGATCAGTCACGTGTTTTTTTCTGCTTAGAACCATATAGGAGGGACCTTTTTTGCCATAGCTGTACTTTTGGATTAGGATTGGCTGAGTGGTAAAGATTGCTGATTGGCCAGAGAAAAACAGATTGACAGAAATGTTTGCAGAGCTTCTGTGAATTCAAATAGAAGTATAAAATGGGGACCGGAAAGAGTGAGTGGTTTTGAGATTTTGAGGGTATTAAAAAGAATGCTTGTAATTCCCACTGGGAGGGCTGTGGTCCAGTAGCCCTAATGGGACCACCTTTACCAAGCAAACAGTGCTAGCCTGAATCACTAGTTTTACGCCATGTGGACACCAGCCCTTCTGAGCTTCAAAAATACTTGTTGTTGTTTAGCCGTTTAGTCGTGTCCAACTCTTCGTGACCCCATGGACCAGAGCACGCCAGGCACTTCTGTCTTCCACTGCCTCCCACAGTTTGGTCAAACTCATGCTGGTAGCTTCGAGAACACTATCCAACCATCTCGTCCTCTGTCGTCCCCTTCTCCTCGTGCCCTCCATCTTTCCCAACATCAGGGTCTTTTCCATGGAGTCTTCTCTTCTCATGAGGTGGCCAAAGTATTGGAGCCTCAGCTTCAGGATCTGTCCTTCTAGTGAGCACTCAGGGCTGATTTCCTTAAGAATGGATAGGTTTCATTTTCTTGCAGTCCATGGGACTCTCAAGAGTCTCCTCCAGCATCATAATTCAAAAGCATCAAAAGTACTTATTTAGTAACAAATCCAGCCTCATACATTTCCACAGCTAATGCTAGCTTCTCTATCCCCATAGTTCCAGACTAGGGAGGAAGGAAATAGAACTAACAAGACAATTACCTAAATCCATTGTTCACATTATAGAGATGCATCGCTTCAACAATTAGCACAAGCAAATTCTAACTGGAGCAGAAATGAATCACATTTTTCCATCAGCTTGCACATTTTTGCCCTAGAAACTTTGAACTCTTTGACATTTTTATGTTCTAAAGCATAGCATAGATCAGCTTGCAAATGTCGTCAGATAGATTATTGAGGGGGCTGTTGTATTTGTTCGTTACCATGGGCATAGCCAGGAGTTTTGTTAGGGGGGCAGGCCTTTTGTTGGGGGGAGGGTAGAACCTCAGTTTGCTATAAATTTATATTGAATTTTATTGATTTGGGGGAGCAGCTGCTGCCCCTGCCTCCCCTTGGCTATATCCATGCTTGTTACTATGTTATATAGTTTTGTGTTTTTATACTGTAAACTGTCCTGTGATCCTCAAATGAAGAACTGTATAGAAATAATAATAATAATAATAATAATAATAATAATAATAATAATAATAATGCTATAGACAGAGATACTGTATAGATTAGTGTAGTGACTATATGGGTAAAAATTGTAGGAGAATGGAACAGTGACCTTACTGTGAGGGTCTGCTATAGACCGCCAAGCCAGACTGAAGACTTTGGTAATATGCTCTAGAAAGGCATCAAATATTCAAAAACAAACTTGGTGAATCAGGGAAATGCTGTGGATGTAGTGTATCTTGATTTCAGTAGAGGTTTTGGCAGAGTCCCCCATGATGTTCTCTCATGGAAACGGGTAAAATGTGGGTTGAACGAGGTAACTGTTAGGTGAATTTGTAGCTGGTTGACTGATCGAACCCAAAGAGTTCCTCATCATCCTGGAAAAAAGAGACAAGTGGGGTGCCACAGAGTTCTGTCCTGGGCCCGTTGTTGTTTAACATATTTATAAATGACTTGGATGAAGGAATTGAGGGGGTGCTCATCAAATTTGCAGATGAAACCAAACTCTAAGATTCTATGATTCTATGAAATCTCTTGAGGTTGAAGAAGTTGCCTACTCATGCTTTAAGTTACTTCTTTTAAGCATCCTGCCATGCTCACAGTTATTGCAGCCAAAGGGTGATTTCTACTCCTAGAGTCCTATAAGTTTCATAAAGGTGATAGTTAATGATATGTCAGCCTGTGAGAGCGAAAAGTCTAAAGCTGCTATTACCAGCCTGCTGCCACCACTTGAGAAATTTTCTTCTGTTTTATTGCACCGTACCTTGCACTGCTGGTTGTTGAGCACTGTGAAAATTGTTGATCATCCCCACAACTACAATGTGGGAAAAGAATTGGCCAAGCCACACTGAATAAGCAATGATGTATTTTAAATAAGAGCAACAGCTTAATAGCATTCTGCAGAAAATTGACAAAACCAAGCAGATTATATAAAACAGGACAAAATGCTGCTTTTGTAGCTAATCCCCATGTTAGCTAATCCCCATGTTACTTTCCCTTTAAGACACGGACCTTATTACAATTTATAAATGGACTACCCCTTTCATCACATTCCAAGGATTTCCCACGTGTCCTTAAATCCTCAGTTTATAAGTGGTCTAACTGAATCTTCTCCCTCCCTCCAACTGCTCTTTTTTAAAAATATAATTTTTATTAACAAACCAATCAAATCACATTAATTCCAAATTACAAAGCCAAATTTTTAAATTTTTGTTGGGGGTACCCATGCTTCGAGCTCCGAAAGGGATCCAAACATCTCTCTTGCTACTGCTTTAATATTCACAGTTTGGTCCAATCTTCACTTTATTATTTTCCTCATCTTCTTGTTGTTATCATATATTCCTTTCTTTGTGACCTCTGATGGTGTCCACAAGCGGGTTGAAAACAAATGTTGTTATATCCTGTGTGAATTTTCCATTCTTCCAAGAGCCATATTCAGACAAACAGACACCATTTCAACACTTCCGTACAAAGCATTCTTAAAGTCTGCCCGTTAATCTTCGCAGGCCTGTCAGTCTCTCCTCAATTTTCTTAGGGGGTTCTCCAACTGCTCTTAGAGCAACACTGTTCAGTCACATTTCTACAATCTCCAGAGCCAATTGAAACAATGTGCCTCCTTTCTTCTTTCCTAATAATTAACATAGTGATAATAATTTATTAGTAGTAGAAATAATAATTTTCCAGTAATTAACATATAATATATTTTATTCTATATCTCTTAATCCATAGACTTTACACTGGGTAGACTTTACAATGATGCTTTTATAACTATAAAGAAGAGTGCACAAACAGAACTTCACACAAGCTGGCTCCGGATCCAAATATATAAGTTACTGTGATTGGCATGTAAAGTCCTAAATACTTCTCCCAATAGTTCCCCAACATCTGCCAGTCTTCCATCCTGCCTAGAGAAAAGCTCCTGCATCAAAGGGAGGGACCAATTTGTCCCATTTGTGTTAAGATGTCCATCCAACCTTTTTTTTTAATATCACTTGGCAATCAGAGAAGGCTACTGTAGCAACCGCCCTCATTAAAGGTGGAAGGGAGGCAATTTGATGGGATTTTTGATTGCTTTTAAAGCTTAGATGCTCCCTCTCAGAACACTTGAGATGTCTGGTGTAATATGTATGTGGTAATGTTTCTTAATAACCAGCAACAACCTATTGCAATCATGTGAAATTAGAGTTTGTTACTACTTGGCAAATTAGAGGATCAAAATAAGGATGTCATTGGTCTTACACTACTAGGAAAACACTCCGAGCTCCCTCTGCCATATGTCTCTCTTTGGGGCAGAAGTTGTGAGCATGTCAGAAGTGCAATGAGCTCCTGGCGGAACTGGAAGTGTTAGAGAGGAAAAGTGAGTGATGGATATGATAGCTGGATATCTTTCCCACAATGACAGCTCCCCTGCTGTCAGGGAGAATGAAGGTCTTGAAAAAGGATAACATCACCTCACCTTCTATTCCCTTAGAAGGTACCCATTCCTTGGCGGTTGCTAGTGTATCCTCACATGCTGAGGATACCTTTCTAGTGGGTAGTGGGATCATTGTTGTTGTTTAGTCATTTAGTCGTGTCCGACTCTTCGTGACCCCATGGACCAGAGCATGCCAGGCACTCATGTCTTCCACTGCCTCCTGCAGTTTGGTCAGACTCATGTTTGTAGCTTCGAGAACACTGTCCAACCATCTCGTCCTCTGTTGTCCCCTTCTCCTTGTGCCCTCAATCTTTCCCAACATCAGTGTCTTTTCCATGGAGTCTTCTCTTCTCATGAGGTGGCCAAAGTATTGGAGCCTCAGCTTCACGATCTGTCCTTCCAGTGAGCACTCAGGGCTAATTTCCTTAAGAATGGATGCGTTTGATCTTCTTGCAGTCCATGGGACTCTCAAGAGTCTCCTCCAGCACCATAATTCAAAAGCATCAGCCTTCTTTATGGTCCAGCTCTCACTTCCATACATCACTACCGGGAAAACCATGGCTTTAACTATACAGACCTTTGTTGGCAAGGTGATGTCTCTGCTTTTTAAGATGCTGTCTAGGTTTGCCATCGCCTTTCTCCCAAGGAGTAGGCGTCTTTTAATTTTGTGACTGCTGTCGCCATCTGCAGTGATCATGGAGCCCAAGAAAGTAAAATCTCTCACTGCCTCCATTTCTTCCCCTTCTATTTTATCTATTATTTTATTTATTTATGTAATTTTATTTATACCCCGCCTTCCCCAGCCAAGACCAGGCTCAATTGACAGACCAGGAGAGAGACCTTGGGGTCATAGTAGATACCGTACTTTTCTGTGTATAAGACTATGTTAATTTCTCATAAAATAATCTCTAAAATTGGGGTCGTCCTATACATGAGTAGTGCAGAGTGGGGATGGGGGATTGGTTTCTGCTGCGAGCAGGAGATTTTCAGCGATGATTGTTCTGTTGATTGGTGGCTGTGACAAGGGCTGCTGTTGATTGGCTGGTGCTTTGGCAATTGGGCTGGTGACTGGAGGCTGCTGGTTGCGAGCGCGCAGACGATTTAAGGCCTATGCGATGCGTGTGAGAGATTGGAAGTGTTGGTCAGGTGGGTGAGCAATTTTCGTTAACCCCCCCCCAAGCTCAACATCTGTGGGCAATCTCCCTCCATTATATTAATTTTGAGTCCCCCCAAATAGTCTTATACACAGGGGGCATATTATACACATAAAAATACGGTAATTCAATGAGCATGTTGACCCAGTGTGGCAGCTGTGAAAAAGGCAAATTCCATGCTAGGGATCATTAGAAAATGAACTGAAAATAAAACTGCCAATATCATAATGCTGTAGTACAAATCTATGGTACAACCATATTTGGAGTACAGTACTCCTGTTACTACCTGGGAGAAAAGCCAAGAACCAAAATGAAGGAGAAATCTAAGCAAGCATCACATAAGTTGGGTGTGGACAGCAGTTGCTGAAGAGTTAATGAGTCAGATTTTAGCATATCTAGATTAAATATATAGATTTAGCACATCATATTTCTACTTCTAGGACTTTTATCTTCTCCCTACTTTTCTTTGATCTTTAACTCTTTTGTTTCTGTTATGTACTGAGTTGAATAGGATCCAAAATGCAGCAGTCTGATTGGTCCTAGAACAATGCAGCAGTATGATTGGTCCGCAGGAGCCACCCAATCCAGCTCCAGGTGGAAGTGAATCCACAACCTGATTGGCCTACAGGAGAATCCCGGAATTAGCCAATCACATGGGGCCCATTGTGTAAACAATGTATATAAAGCAGACATCCTGGGGGAACTTCCATTCCTCCTCATCACTATGAGCTGAATAAAGAGCATGAAATCCACTCTCGACTCCAAGTATATTTCAGTTTCATTATATCATGCAATGCTCCAAGTGTGTAATACCTGATGGCCCATCTAGCCCAGCATCCTGTTCTCACAGTGACTGATGAGAAGGCTGTGGGAAACCAGGGATCAGAAACATGAGCACAGGAGCATTCTCCCCTCCCATGGGGAGCAACTGGTATTTGGAAGCATTGCTGCCTCCAGCTGTGGAGGCACAGCATAGCCATCACGGCTAGTAGCCATTGACAGCCCGTGTGCTCTGGTTCCATCACGGTGTTCTGTTGCGCGGGAACCAGTTTAGTCATGCTGGCCACATGACCTGGAAAACTGTCTGTGGACAAACGCCAGCTCCCTCGGCCTGAAAAGCGAGATGAGCACCGCACCCCATAGTTGCCTTTGACTGGACTTAACCGTCCAGGGGTCATTTACCTTTACCTTTTACCTTCTCCTCCATGGGTTGGTCTAATCCTCTTTTAAAGCCATCCAAGTCAGGGGCCATCACTGCCTCCTGGGGGAGGAGGAGGAGTTTTGGATTTGATATCCCGCTTTATCACTACCCAAAGGAGTCTCAAAGCGGCTAACATTCTCCTTTCCCTTCCTCACCCTCAACAAACACTCTGTGAGGTGAGTGGGGCTGAGAGACTTCAAAGAAGTGTGACTGGCCCAAGGTCACCCAGCAGCTGCATGTGGAGGAGCGGAGACTCAAACCCAGTTCCCCAGATTACGAGACTACCGCTCTTAACCACTACACCACACTGGCTCTCTGGGGGAGCGAGTTCCATAGTTTGCCTATGTGCTGCGTGAAAAAGTACTTTCTTTTATCTTCGAATATTCAACTTCATTGGGTATTCATGCGTTCTAGTGCTATGAGAGAACCTTTTTCTGCCTACTTTCTCTATGCCATGCATAGTTTTATAAACTCCTATTATGAGTCCACTGCACCAGGACCCATTCTTCAGGAATGCTGTGTTGCTGTTCCTACATTCCTGTGATCGGAAGGTCAGACAAGGTGCTCCCGAAACCCAGCCCATGCAGGCGCTAAAGACGTGGGCTGTACATGTGTACGGAAACAATTTCCTTTTTGAGGTGAGGTTACTAGATGGGCCATTGGCCTGATCCAGCAGGCTATTCTTATGTTTGTATGTGGTCAAGGTCTATTGTATACAGCAAGGATGTCCAACCAGTAGATCGCAATCTACCAGTAGATCCCTGGCTGATCCTGGTAGATCGCGGGGATCCTTATTGTGTACAAAAAGTTAGGGGGGGAGCAAAAAAACCTCTGTGCAATCCTCCCCTGAAAAAGTTCAACAACTCTGGGTACTTCCCTCCTAAAAAAGCTCAACAATTCTGGGGAATCCACCCACCCCATGCACGCTCCTTCTCCCTCCAATGACAATGCTTTTTTTTCATATACTGGGAGTAGATCGCAGTCTCTTGAGAGCTGGACATGCCTGGTATACAGTAGATGAGCTACTGAGGTGCTGAATGATTCTGCAAGGCCACCTAGTGGGAAATATGGAGAATATTATGCACAGAACACCTGTTCAAATGGCTACACATATAAAGTGCATTATAATGTGTAGCAGGTACAGCGGTTTCGTCCCTATAATCCCTCTATGAGTCCTTCAGGACATCTGTGAGAACCAATAAGAGCCGTGGAAATTCCTGGGAGTACCTGAAAGAAAAACCAAGAATCAGAATGCAAGAGAAATCTAAGCAAGCATCACATAAGTTGGGTGTGGACAGCAGTTGTTGAATGAGTCACATTTTAGCATATCTAGATTGCAGGCATTAAAGTACTCATATTTACACTTCTATGACTTTTACCTTTCCCCTACTTTTCTTAAAGCTCTATTCTATTTCAACAGTTTATATATACCACTTAACAACATAGCTTTTAAGCTGTGTATAATTAGGTTACAAAAGAGACACGAAAGCTCAGCTAATATTAAGCAGAAAGTCAGAAGGCTGCAATAAGTCTCACCGGGGAAAGATGGTGGTTTCTTTGGCTTTCCTCATATACAACAACCAGAATTTTAAGTGAACTTACATAATATTCAGTTGTAGAACTGTTCCATCTAAAAGCAGAAAAAGAGATGGACACAATCTATAAATACCTAAACTGTAGACCAGATAATAACCTAGATTTCCCTGCATAAGCCATCCAAAGCTGGAGAAAAATGCACATCACAGCTGAATATCAAGAGGGAAATTGTGACCTCACAGAATCGGAGCTGAACAATTCATTATATCCATTGAGAGGGAGAAAAGCTGTTAAGTGGAAATCTCGCTTTGACAGCAAAGGTGCTAAAATTACAGCAAGAATCTAAGGGTTTCTACAGGAACGTCTTCCTTCTGAATGATGGCAGCTCAGCCCTTTAATTGTGGGGGAAGTTTCTCCAGTCTGCACAACTGCAGCTGAGAACCCAGTTATTCCGTTATTCAAAGTGGCTCCCTCCTTAGGCAAATGAAAGCTGCCATTTCTCTAAAAGCTTATTCTGGGAGGCAAATCACACCTATCAGTTAGACTGGATATTGAGTATGAATGTGCACAAAATTCTGCCCATACAGAACACCATGTGTGCACTTTACTAAGGCTTTACAATGTGTGCCTTTTTACCTCTCCTTACAGTTTAGCATTGTACACCAGTCCGTATACTGATTCAATCGCAGTGTAAAAAAAGGCACCAAGGGGCTGTGTTGTTCGTTAACATTGTTGTTGTTTAGTCGTTTAGTCGTGTCCGACTCTTCGTGACCCCATGGACCAGAGCACGCCAGGTACTTCTGTCCTCCACTGCCTCCCGCAGTTTGATCAAACTCATGCTGGTAGCTTCAAGAACACCATCCAACCATCTCATCCTCTGTCGTCCCCTTCTCCTTGTGCCCTCCATCTTTCCCAACATCAGGGTCTTTTCCAGGAGTCTTCTCTTCTCATGAGGTGGCCAAAGTATTGGAGCCTCAGCTTCACGATCTGTTCTTCCAGTGAGCACTCAGGGCTGATTTCCTTAAGAATGGATAGGTTTGATCTTCTTGCAGTCCATGGGACTCTCAAGAGTCTCCTCCAGCACACACTGGAGTTAACGTACACACCCACTAATGCTTGTTTGTAAGAAAAAAGATGGAAACTTACAAGTGTGGCAGGTTCCACGTGTGCCAACTGAAAGTCGGTTTTAGAAATTCTCTGGGTTAAAATTGGAAGGGAGGTAGACCTTCCAAGGTAAGAGGGAGGCGGAGTCACTGCCTCTCAGCCTAACCAACTCAAAGGGTTGTTGTGGGAATTAAATGAAGAAAGAGTGTGCCTCCTTGAGCTCCAGGAGAAAATGATGGGCTGTAAATGCAATAATAAAGAAACAAATAAATTTCACTGTAGTTCCAGAAGTGGCATCTTGCATCATGTGAAAGCTCAAATATTATGTGGAACTTTAGGGGAAAGTCATGAAAACAGAATAAACTGTCATGTAAATTCAGTCTAGATGTGTCGATTCAGCAGGCCCTTCTTATATTCTCATATGGAGTCTAGGGGGAAAAATCTGACCAAAAGGAGCAAGTCCAAGAAGACTGGTTGGATTAGCATTTCCACACTGTTTGCCTCTTATTTGTTCTGGGTTATTTCTTTTATGGTTTTCCCAGTAGTGATGTATGGAAGTGAGAGCTGGACCATAAAGAAGACTGATCGCCGAAGAATTGATGCTTTTGAATTATGGTGCTGGAGGAGACTCTTGAGAGTCCCATGGACTGCAAGAAGATCAAGACTATCCATTCTTAAGGAAATCAGCCCTGAGTGCTCACTGGAAGAACAGATCCTGAAGCTGAGGCTCCAATACTTTGGCCACCTCATGAGAAGAGAAGACTCCCTGGAAAAGACCCTGATGTTGGGAAAGGTTGAGGGCGCAAGGAGAAGGGGACGACAGAGGACGAGATGGTTGGACAGTGTTCTCGAAGCTACCAGCATGAGTTTGACCAAACTGCGGGAGGCAGTGGAAGACAGGAGTGCCTGGCATGCTCTGGTCCATGGGGTCACGAAGAGTCGGACATGACTAAACGACTAAACCACAACAATTTCTTTTAGAATTGAACAGACTGCACGCAGCTGCAATATTTCCCTGTATTTAATCTTCACTAGGGGGAAAAAAGAACACAATTTTCTGTATGTTTCTGATCATCTCCACTTCTCACATCATATTGCAGCAGCTGTTAGGAAGGCAGAAGGTTGAGTCATACCCCCCAGTGAATGCACACCCGTTCCTTTTGTCAGTTTTAGTTAATGGGACTATTTCCTTCCATGCCAAAACTTCAAAAGTCCCTTGTTAACGGTGAGTCAGAAAAGGGAAATAAAACAAAAAAAGAAATTGGGCTTGATTTCCCCATATTTCATCTGAAGTTGTGTATCTGCTGACACTAATGGGATTGGCACAGGGCAGCATCATCTCTGATGAGACATTAGAAGCCATTTGCAAATCTGTAGGTCTGGGGTAGAGATGGATGGATTCATCAAATTCAGTTTCTCATTTTCCCAGCCTTAAAATTCAGTTCACTCCAAGTATGCACCAGTTGGTGGTTTGTTTGTTTTTCAAGGCCTCAAAAAAATTCACTAGTATTTTTATGTACATGTTTATGTATGATTTTGCCATATACATATACATATACATATACATATACATATATATCAATTCAAAAGCATCAAGGTGCTGGAGGAAACTCCTGAGAGTCCCATGGACTGCAAGAAGATCAAACCTATCCATTCTTAAGGAAATCAACCCTGAGTGCTCACTGGAAGGACAGATCGTGAAGCTGAGGCTCCAATACTTTGGCCACCTCATGAGAATAAAAGACTCCCTGGAAAAGACCCTGATGTTGGGAAAGATGGAGGGCACAAGGAGAAGGGGACGACAGAGGACGAGATGGTTGGACAGTGTTCTCAAAGCTACCAGCATGAGTTTGACCAATCTGCGGGAGGCAGTGGAAGACAGGAGTGCCTGGCATGCTCTGGTCCATGGG